TGTACCCCAACTGCTGCTAGTGAAACCTCCTCTCCTTTCAATCATTCTTGCCTAGTTCTTCTGACATGCTATCAGAGCAGGTCGACCCTCCTGGGTCGATCCTGTGGGTGGGCCCACCACCTAATGCTTCCGCTGCTTTACTTCCTGCCGGGCGCCTCGGGCGCGCGACGACTTCTTCCTGCCGTGCGCGGAGCGCGCGGCGAATTTTTTCTAGGGTTTCGGCGGTTTTCATCCCGCCGTGCGCTCGGGGCGCGCGGCGGTTTTCTGCACGCCGTGCGCCCCGAGGCGCGCGGCGGTTTCCCACCGTCGAAGTGCCCCCCGTCGCCCGTCGAAGCGCCCTCCCCCCGTCGCCCGTCGAAGCGCCCCCGTCGCCCGTCGGAGCGCCCCCCGTCGCCCGCCAAAACGCCCCCGTCGCCCGTCGAAGCGCCCCTGGGACCCGCGCGCGGCCCGTACGGGCTGCGCCAGGCCCGCGCGCGGCCCGTACGGGCTGCGCCAGGCCCGCGCGCGGCCCGTACAGCCCGCGCGCGGCCCGTACGGGCGGCGCCAGGCCCGCGCGCGGCCCGTACGGGCTGCGCCAGGCCAGCGCGCGGCGCGGGCAGCCTGCGCGCGCCTCGTCCGTCCCCCTCTCGCCGTCCCCCGCGCTCCTGCCCCTATCCCACCCGTTTTAGGGTTTGGGGATGTAGAGTGTGGGGGTGGCGGGTGTGGGGGTGCCGGTTGTGTGCCCCGTCCCCTCCTTCTCCTCCTCCTCCGTCTCCCGCTGCTGCAGCTGCCGCTCAGGGGGGTGGTTGTGTGGGGAGCCGAAGGAGTGGTCCTAGGGGGGTGAAGGGGGAGTGGAGCTAGGGGCGCAGCAGGGGGTGTGTGTCGAGGGGTGTGGGACTGTTGGGGGAGGTTGAGCGGAGGTAGCCGTCGTGACGCCAGCAGCGCCAGTAGTCCGGATGCCCTCGCGCGTCTCGGTAGCCCAGCGAGCCTGCTTCGCCAGTCGCCTGTGGGTCCGTTGCTCCTGTGTGTGCTCGTCGTAGCCGCGGAGCCAGATACTCCCGTAGTCCGGTGCCCTCGTGCGCTCGGTAGCCACTGTGCGCGCCGCTCCTGTTGCCCGTGTGTCTGCAGCTTCAGTCGGCGCCTTTCATCTTCTCGCCCTCACAGTTTCTCCTCCTCCTCACTTGCCCTCTATGATCACCTCTAGCTTTGCTTATAATTGTGAACTATTGCTATGCCTGCTCATTGTACTGATTACACCCCACTTTGGCTATGGGGGTGTGTCAGAATGTTATTATTGTCTAGCCTGTAGTGGGGTGCTCTATAGCGAGTACAACCCAGTTAGGGTTTGCTATATGTACCCCAACTGCTGCTAGTGAAACCTCCTCTCCTTTCAATCATTCTTGCCTAGTTATTCTGAGATTCTTTGGCCTGAGTCAGCAGGCCAAGGAAAATGTGATGTGGAGAGCATCAATGCATTTGTGAGGAGTCTTTCTATTGGAAAGATTTATCAACTGCACCGCATCAATGCAGTCCGCGTGCAAGTTGGTTGGTAACGTGTTATATCTATATAACACGCTATGCATCTCAATTTGTTTCTCTCTATGCTTTAAGATTCACAACATATATTCATAATGCAGGAAGCGAGTTGGCGGCTTGGACCTCCAGTTCAACTGGGTCCACCACTGTTCCTACATGATTGAGGCATCTGGATCGGAGAAGCTGGATGTAGGCAACGTGCCTACGGCATCTTTGAAGAACTTCTACGAGCTCAAGGATCTCGAACGGGTAAGTGTTGTAGCTTGTTGCATATGTGCATGTTTATGTAATACAACTGTATGTTCATATAGTCATACTGCTATACTGTTTAGCACGTGCTCATGCGTACAACGAAAAGGGTATATGCTAGCCACCTATGGTCATATGGTGTTGCTCATTTATGTTGTACGACGTGCAACATGGTCTACACCAAGTAGTTTGGAAATTATGTTTTGTCATGCAACGCAATATGCGCCATGGTTCAAGTTTATGTTCATTTTGATAATGGAATACAAGCATGTATACTATTGCAATGACACCACTTGTATAACACATGATTTTGGTAACCTTAAATGCATCAAGTAATAATATCATCATCTATGTATACTGCACAAATTGAGTATGACATGATGTTATATTTCGATTTACATTATATGCTGCACATTTTATATGTGTTTTTTTTTTCTTTTCTTTCTTTCAGGTTCCCTCCATTGCTGTCAAGTTGCAAGTCACATCATATGAGCCAAAGAACAACGGCATGCACAAGTTGGTCGCTTGCATTCATGATTCATCCACAGATAGTGCATTGATTGCACTAGGAACCACTGCACTTCACATCAACACATGTTTTGAGAGTTATGTGAATGCGAACAAAGAATGTTCGCACGTTCCTGTCTACCTGAGCAACGTGTATTTGAAGTCTGCTATCTTCAAGACGACGAAGCAATCTAGTGTGGTCATTCTTGACGAGCGCTTTGCATAAAAAATCCCAGACGTTCCTCCATCCGATGGAATCATTGTCGTAGGCGTCGCCGAACTGTAAGTATAAAACATGATCACAATGAATAGGTTGTATGATGTCTAAGTAGATCTAACAATTTCATATCATTTTGCGTTCAGAATGACTCATGTCAACGCACTCGTTCTCACCACAAAAAGGGAGAAAATCGCATCATTCAATGCGGAAATCCAAGACCCACGGCACAACAGTCGCACGATGTGTAATGTCAAGTGTGGAGATGGGATTTGTGGCATGCCCATCTACACGTCAATGAGCACGGGTTTGGATGAGTGTGTGAAGCATCCGTCTGCTTCAATATCCAGTGACGACAACGTCACCGTCACTCTTGTCGTGACAGAGAGTGGTAAGCTATAAAATTTCACAGTTGCGTTTGTCTAAGTACAACTATACGTTAATGATGTGATGTTGTAACTTTTTTTTTTCTTTCCTTTTCTTACCTTCAAAGGAACTTTCAAGAGTCGATCATACAACATGCTATTGGAGCCAAGACTTATGGCAAAGATGATTCCCAATTTTCAGATTTCTGATTTTCTTTCTTCTACTGACGACGAACGAAGGCACTTGTTGCATGCATTGCGTAGTGTCTGGCGCGTGAAGGTGAGTTTTACATATCAAATATGATTCATTTTTCATGTATTCATACTTGATCGTCATGTTATAGATCATTCAGTATGTTAATCTTATTCCAACAAATCTCATATGGTATTCAACTTGCTTTCTTTCTAATTATGACATGAGCAGGTACACTTTCGTTACGAGGAATTGCGGATAGTGAAGAGCATCGTGGACATCATGAGCATTCGAGCATCATCAAGCTCGAATCCCGTCACCACTCCTTCTAAAAGAGCATTTGATGTAAGTGTTCGATATTGATAGCGCAACTACATATTGTATCTTGTTGAATCTTGCATTTTCATGAATCTCGAGTCCAAATTTTCTTGAATTGAATGCTCGATTTCTATCTATTTGATATGTTTGACTTTACACATTGTTAATCGCAGGTCCTCGAGTGAATTGTGCGTTTGCTGAACTTGAAATCTTGCTATTGATGTAAGAATTGTACATGTAGTTTTGTACCTTTAATTAGCTTTTTATATGCATATTGTTTTATTGGTGTTCTCACCTTTTTTTTTTGTGCAGGATTTGCAAGATGACAGCCTTTACTACGATGTCTGTTAAATTATACGCAAGATTAGAACTATTTTTTAGCTAAAATATACTTGATTGCTAGCATAACTTCTTATTGTATTGTTTCTACTCATGCTTTTCATTGTGTAAGTAATGCACGTCTGCTCGTCACAAAGAGATGACTTGCAGATCATTGTCACAAAAGGTTCAGTGGTGTACCACTATCAAAGTGGAGCCATTTTGAGCTGGACTTGATCGGCGTAGTCATTTCTTTGAGATTTGCAGATTGTATTTCTTTATGTCGAAGTTTAACGTCTATACTACTCGATTTCCCCCCCATGCTAGGCTGGGGAAACGGTAGTGTACATTTGAGAGTTGCGTATCCAATGTATATATTATCGCCTCCCCCCATGCTAAGTTGGGGAAGCGTTGATATAAATATTTGTTGTTTAGCAACGTCTTTTTAGTCTTTTCTTTTTCTTTTACCATCCATAAGGCATATTCATCAAGTTGATTGGCGAATATATCTTTCCGACAAGGTTGAAACAAAGAAGAACTACAATGATCCTTTTGTTGGTCATTGTGTTTCTCCATTTTGGGGAGTTAATTATTCCCCCCCTTTTAAAGAAATTGAAACTAAACCTTATGTGTTTTAATATAATCACATAATACAATTTGGATAAGGCAAGATATTGAGCAATGGCACACTGTATAATATTTTGTTTTTAAGATTTTGCTCTGTTTTTTTTTTATTTGCTCAGAATTTCGTAAATTTATTTTCTTATTCATCGAAAAAAATCGTAAATATATTTTTTATTCATAGAAAAAAAAAACAATTCAAATCGATCACAATAGGTTGCTCCGCAACCAAAAAAAAAGGATTTTATTATTAGCGCACCTGCGCTACTATCTGGGACCATAGGGTACGGTACGGTAAGTGGCAGTGGATTCGAATGAGGCGGCAGTCAAGAGGCGAGGAGGTAGTCAAGAGGCGAGGAGGTCTCCGCACTCCACTTCAAGGGGCACACAAGGCTCAAGTGAACAAACGACGATACAGACGGCACACGAGTACTCAAACACCCTAGGCTCAATTGTACAAACACTAGTGTGAAACACAACGACACATCCAACCCCATGGTGTAAAGGAGAGTGGGGGGGGGGGGGGGGGGGGGGGGGGTAAGGAGGAGAGGGTTGAAGCACCTTAGAACTGGATGGGGCCGCAGCCGAGAGGCGTAGTTTTCAGCGGGCAGTAGGGGCACTTGACGGGACGAGTGCTGCCCTTGGCAAGCTTGAGCACTGCTGTCAACAGCAGCAGCAGCAAAATGGTACATGCACTCTAGAACTGAATGGGGCGGCAGTCAAGCGGTGTGGTCTCAAGAGGGCAGTAGGGGCATTTGAAGGGACGCGTAGCTCCCTTGGCGAGCTTCAGCACGGATGCACGGCACACGACATGGCCACAGGGCAGCAGCACGGGCGGGTTGTCGGGGTAGGAGGCGGGCTCACGGGAGACGGGGCAGGCGAAGATGGAGTGGAAGTGGAAAGCGCGGGGCAGCTCGATCTCCACTGGCAGCTGCTCCATGCCCTGCCAGTCCCGCGCTGCCCTCCTGCTGCTGCCCGTGCCACCACCACCACCACCAGCACCAGCACCAGCACCAGCAGAAGTGCCAGGCGCGGTGATATTGCTGGTAGCAGCGGTAGGAGTGGTGGCAGCAGTGGTGGAGCTTCCGCCTACCCGGTTGCTCCCTCCCCCGCTGCCAATGCCGCTGCTGTGGTTCAGCAGGGCGGCGAGCTTTGTCAGCATTGGGAGGGCCTCGCCGCCCGCAGCCACCACGACAGTCAATGGGCTTTCAGCGGATTCGAGGCACTCCACGGAGCAGTAGTGTGCGGTAAACCGAGCGGCGATCTGATTCCAGTGGGCGGCAGTGAGTGGCAGGAGGTCGGCATATGGGACAAATTCAGCCGCCCAACCCACAGGAGAGCGCACATGAGGCATTGGATATCGGGGAGATGGGTGGCGGCGAACGGCGGGAAATACTGACGCGCGTACAGCAGGGCTGGTGAGCTGGCAGGTCGTGATTGGCTGCTGCTGTCATCACTGGAAGGATCAGACATAGAAAACGAGCCTTCCTTCTGCTGCTGCTGTTGCTTCCATATAAGCTGTTTCTGCTGCTCCTGCAGAAGATTCAAAAACTGCAGTCGATGAATTTCAAACTCCAAGGAGCTTGTCTTCAGCCCTCCAACCACCGCCTTCCCTCCCCCTTCCCCCCCTCCCACCTTCTCGTCGGGAAACCCCCCAGCAACTTCCTGCTGTAGCTCCTCCCGATGCTGTGCCGCCCAAGCCAGTGCCGGACCAAGATCCTTGGCTCGAATGGCGTCAAGAATGGCGTGCATAGCGCCGTACCTGCACCGGTGCTCCTACAGGCTCACACCCTAGCCCACTCCCCCCACTCCGCCCCTCCCCTCCCCCCCTGCCATTGCTGCTGCGCCCCCCTGCGCGCCCACCACTCCCCCATCCTTTCCCCTCGCCTCTCCCCCGGCCCTGCCCCCTGCGCTCCCTCCCCCAGCGCCCCCTCCCCCAGCGCCACTGCCAGAGGCCATCCTTCTCCGCGCTGACCATGACAGGCGCGCCATTCCGCCCCGCCCAGCCACGCTTTCCCCCCACAGCCCCCCGCCCCTCTCCCCCGCAACCCCCCCCACACTGCCACTCTCCGCCCCGCCTCTGCTCCCCCTTTCTATGTCCGCCTCCGCCCCTGCGCCCTCCCCCACCGCCATCCGCTCGTCTCCCTTCCCCCCTTCCTCCATCGCCTCCCCCTCCTCCCCATCCTCCTCCCCGTCCCACTCCTCTCCTTCCTCCGCTTCCTCCCCTTCCTCCCCTTCCGCCCCTCCCCCCGCGCCCCCCATGTAACATATCGAATCCCACCAACCCAAGTCTCGATACATTGAACCTGGGTTGGGAAGAGAAAGGGGAATTGAACTGGTTGGAAATCGGGGAAACGAACTGGTTGGCAAGCCAACCAATCAGAACACTTTTATACAAAGTGAGTCGAGAAGTTTCCCGCCGCTGGTTGGAGTTACAACCAATCACAAACATTCGAAGTCCAACACAACTCTTGCGTTGGAATTGCAACCAGTTGAAACATGACAGGTAGGGATAACATATTACATACACAGCATTTTATCCCTTTGTTTGTGCCATGTCATTGAGTAACCTTTGCCACATGGGCAAGGCCCAAGGGAGTGCACCCCTCCTTGCCATGGGGAAGGTGGTTGCACCCCAAGGGGGTCTAGGGAAGGGGTCTGAAGCCTCTTGGCTCATTCTCCATTTCCTACTCCCAACTAATCAATTGGGAAATGGGATCTCTCTCTTCACAACACACCTTCCACAGTTTGTGACTGCATCTCCTAGCAACTCTCAGACTTAGTCATTTTCCAGGAGCTGCTACTCTCTGGTTGTATTAGAACCTATTATTAAGTGGGTAAATGCCCTTTTTCTTCATAGATCCGTTACACCCCAGCCCCGCCTCCGCCACGAGCGCGTCCCCCACGGCGAACAGCATCAGAAAATTGCAATCCTCCCAAAACTGGGCGACGGGGACTTAGGCGATTTTAGGGTTCAAACACTACATCGTAAATGGCCATTTACTGCTTGGGATGGGGTGCTGCTTTGAGATCGGCTGCTTACTGGCGCGAATGGCATGCAGTGGGTAGGAATCTGCGGATCCATGGGACCTCAGTAAGCGGGAGGAAGGGGGGAGTTGAGGGTGTGGTGTTTCAGGCGATTTTTGGCCACTTCGGCCAGCTTACCGGGTGGACGCATATCGACCTGCTACGCAGTGCGGTTCCAGGGTAGGGGAGGCGGGGAAAACGGCAGTTTACGCCAGAATGCGCCCGCCACTCCTGAAGAACACTTCCGCATCTGGTTAGACCCGTCAACAGCGCGTTTGCAATATATTCGTTAACAACTACGAACTACAAAAAACATACGGTGGTGTGTTTGGTCCACCACTTTTATGTTGATGTCCATATCATTTTGTGTTGTGACACATTTACCACTTTTAATTTTGATGTCACATTACTCTTTTCGTGATTACGAGAATTACCATGTGCAATGATGAGGTTTACAAAAAATGGTCTAATTGAGCAACATGTCACCGGTTCCTCGTCTCATATATTTTTTTAAGCGCTATTTCTTCACACATTAAGGTGGTTCAATCAATGAAATCGCTATAAGAATTGGCCGGAGCTCATTCTCACAATCACGCAGCAAGTAATGCTTTGTCAAATGTTATAGCCTCTAGTGGGTTATGCTATATGGGGTACAAACAGTTAGGGTTAGGCATTTGTACCCCAACACAATCAATCTAACTCATTCCGCTGTTTTCACTTTGTGAGATGGTATCAGCAGTAGGTTCGCCGTTCCTAGGCCACACCTAGTCGCCGCCCTTCCTAAAACTTGGTCTCTAGCCTTGATGCGCCCCCCCCCACCGTTTCCCCTACACGCCCTAGCCAGCAGGCCCGCCAGCGCCCTAGCCAGCAGGCCCGCCAGCGCCCTAGCCAGCAGGCCCGCCAGCGCCCTAGCCAGCAGGCCCGCCAGCGCCCTAGCCAGCAGGCCCGCCAGCGCCCTAGCCAGCAGGCCCGCCAGCGCCCTAGCCAGCAGGCCCGCCAGCGCCCTAGCCAGCAGGCCCGCCAGCGCGCCCCGCCAGCGCCCCACGCCAGCGCGCCCCACCAGCCCGCACGCCAGCGCGCACGCCAGCGCGCCCCGCCAGCGCGCACGCCAGCGCGCCCCGCCAGCGCGCACGCCAGCGCGCCACGCCAGCGCGTCCCGCCAGCGCGTCCCGCCAGCGCGCATGCCAGCGCGCCCCGCCAACGCGCACGCCAGCGCGTCACGCCAGCGCGCACGCCAGAGCGCCCTGCCAGCGCGCACGCCAGCGCGCCCCGCCAGCGCGCCCCGCCAGCTCGCACGCCAGCGCGCACACCAGCGCGCCCCGCCAGCGCGCACGCCAGCGCGCCCTGCAAACACGCACGCCAGCGCGCCCGCCAGTGCAAAAGCCAGCGCGCCCGCCAGCGCGCAGCGCCGCCCGCTCGTAGACCCGCCGCGCCGCTCGCCGGCCAGCGCGCCGTGCCGCCCGCCTGTCCGCATGCCGCGCCACCTGCCCGCCTGCACGCTTACGCGCCTGCCCACACGCCACTGACTGTCTCACCCTCCCGCGGCTGGCAGCCGCGCTCTCCCACTTTCGCCCCTTATGGCGACCTCCCGAGTACTTCGTTTTGACCCTGAGGGGAGACCCATAGACTTTAGTACGTGGCTTACGCAGGCGCAGCGCCACCTTAAGAGCCAGCGGCAGGATGGCGTGCACCTGTTCGCACACGCGTCCGGTACTCAGACCGCTCCTCCGCAGCCTAGCCTGCTGCCCACTACCCCACCGCCTACTCCTGAGCAGGAGGCCGAGTACCGGCGCCAGTTCCTCGCTCGCGACGTGTGGGAGTCTCGTGACGCCGCTGCCTGCCTCGCCCTGACCGACCTTCTCCCGCCGACAGAGGCGGTCCACTTCACTCAGGTCGAGTCTGCTGCAGATCTGTATAAGGCTATTGTTGATCGCTACTCCACTCCCTCCTCTGCTTCACTCAGTCGCCTCCTCGTCCCCTTTATCTACCCTGACCTCGCCTCCTTTGAGACTGTCTCTGACCTCGTTACCCACCTTCGCTCCCTTGACGCTCGCTTTCGCGCTGCTTGCACTGAGGACCAGCTTGCCCTTGCCCCGCCCCCTATGTGGCTCACTATTCACTGGCTAGTCACTCGCCTCCCTGACCGCCTAGCCACAGCCCGCGACGCGCTTCTTCTGAAGCACCCCACTGAGCTTACCATCGATCTTCTTGAGACCGCTCTCTCGAAGATCGAGAGTAACCTCCTCGCTGTTGCCTCTGCCTCTTCCGCGCCTCCTCCTCGTCTTTTTGAGGGGTGTGCGGTACCACAGCTTCCCACCTTCACTGCCTCCCTTGCCACCCCCGCGTCTTCTGCCTCTGAGGAGACGGCGGCTGTTTCTGTCTCTGGCGGACAGAAACGTGGCAAGGCCGGTAAGAAGGGCGGGAAGGGCGGCGGAGGTACTGGAGGTGGTGCGGGTAGTGGCGGTGGCGGTGGAGCAGGTGGTGGGAGTGGTGGTGGGGGTGGCTCGGGTCGTGACGGCCCTCCTCTCGACGGTGGAGTTTTCACTGGTGGTGAGGGGTTCCAGCAGCAGCAGCAGCCGGCTTCTCAGCAGCTGCCACCGCCTGGACAGCAGCAGCGGCAGGGACAGCAGCAGCAGCGACAGGGCCAGCAGCAGCGCCCGCCACAGCCGCAGCCGCAGCAGTGGGGCCCTCCGCAGCCGTGGGGCTCTCCGCAGCAGTGGAGGTCTGCGGGTCCCCCGAGCACTGGGCGCAGTGCCGCCCCCTCCAATCGGGGACCTCACTCGGCCGGTCGCGACGTTGGTCCCTGTGAGTACTGGATCCTTACGGGTCCACGTAGGGACTCGTACTGTGGCCGCCCTGACCACTCTGCTGCACGCTCGTTGTTTCAGTCGTCTCGACAACCTCTACCGCTTCCACCACGGCCCCTCCGCTCCCCCGCCGCCGCGTTGGGGGACACTTCTTGCTCGTGGTATCTCTGTTTTTGATATGACTATGGATGATGCTAGGTCTTATGCCATGTATGCTGATGTTGACTATAGTGCTCCTAAATCTGTGTACTTGCCTGTGCCTAGCGTAGGATCTTTGCCTGTTGCTAGAGTAGGTGCTAGTGTAGGATCTTGTTTAGCTACTAGTACAGGTGCTCCCTCGGCGGACGCGTCTCTCTCCTTCACACTGGACTCAGGAGCGACGCAGTGCTTCTTTCGCGACCGCACGACTCTCTCTCCTCTCCCGGCGCCAGTCTCCATCGCACTGGCCGATCCCTCTTCGGAACCGGTCATTGCGACTCACGCCACTACTCTCCCGTGCCCGGCTGCTCCTTCCGGTTCC